CTTAATAGTGACAGAACAGGCACGTAGCAACAGGGGGGCCGGGGGGGGGGGGTACCCCCCCACTTTTTTCTAAAGACTTTTTTTTATTATTTGAAATGTTAATTGAAAGGCCGGTCCCCCCCCCCCCACTTTTTGTTGTAGAATAGTAAAATAAGGGAATTGTAGTAGTGTATGAATAAAATTTGGTACTGAAAGAAGTTGGAACCTAACAACAACAACAACAACAACCCCACGAAACAGGATTTTTTCCTTTTTTTTTTTTTTTGCTTGTCAAGGTTTTTTCAGGTAAGTTGAATTTTTTTTCTCTGGTTGCCCCCCCCCCTTTCAAAAACGATGCTACGTCCCTGCAGAATACATTATGTTTTGATCTCAGGACACGTATTTCACATATCAGTGACAGAATACTCTATTTTTAGGTCACCTATTGCTATCTATTTTCGTCCGTCGCCGTCCGTCGTGCGTTGACATTTGATTGATTGAATGTTGTTTTACGTCCCATTCAAGAATTTTTCACTCATATAGAGACGCCACAATATAGCGGTGAAGGGCTTCAAATTTAGATCTATACACGGCACTCAGGGCCATTGATCAGTGAGGATTTTTTATCGTGCCAACGCCTACCGTGACACGGGACCTCGGTTATTAAAGTCTCATCCGAAAGAGCCGCAACTTTCACTTCAAAGTGCCGAGCGCTTGGCGAAGGAAGAGTTGCTACCTATTTTTTATCGACTAAGGTCAGTCGCGGCCGTGATTCGAACACACGACCTTCGTTAATTGACATTTGAACATTTTGTACAAACAATGTAATTGATAGGAATATCAAACAAAATTTTTAGGTCACCTGAGTGAAATTCCTGGCCCTTGAGTAAGGAAATCTGGTATAAGGGCGGAACTCTATTTTAATCATATAGTGAAAATGCATATTTTTTTTAAAAAAATCCTCTTCTCTCTCCCTGTATACTTAGCAGGCAAACGAAGTGAATATTTGTGATCAGCAAGAGGGCTCTTCCAAAACAGTGAACTTTATGGTTCCAGGTTTATGGTTTCTGTGTTAGGGTTGGGCTTTATTTTTTTTTTAATTCTTTACCACTGGATCAGGGGTTCTAATGCTGAGAAGGGCTCTGTTGATTGTAAGGAAAATTTTACTCTGCTTTGAGAGAAGTTATTCCCCTTTGTTTACCTATAATAAATTACGGTAAAAATATTTATATGGATTTATATAGAAAATGGCAAAGTTGCATATTTGAACACCAAAGAAAACCTACGATTTCTTTATACTTCTATTATTTATGTCATTTCTATTCAAAATCAGTCAAAAATATGCATCAATCCATGCATCTATTTGGTGTGTATGTGTGTTATATATCCTGTCAATAATAGATAAAAATAAAAATGAGACAAAAATACTTATTTTTATACATTAAATTTATTCAAAGACCAACAGAGGTCGATGGAGTAAAGATTTACTATGTGCGTATTGTGCTTCACGCTGAAGCACTATTGTATTGTTAAATTTTGTGATAGTGACAAGTGAGGATGCAGTTAGCACTGACACATACAGGCAAGTAAATACATCCGTTTATTATACTCAGGTGACCTTTAAGGTCCTTGGGCCTCTCTTTTAAATTTCCTTTCAATCCCAGCGTAATCTCAAACGTCCTTGCTTATTCACGATAAAAGCGAATTCAAATTCTTAAATAGGGTTCTTATTATAGAGTATTTAGTTTTGATCTCTTTTCCCAGTTTCTCATTTGATGTTAATTTGAGCTACCTAAATAATTTATCGGAATCAGACCGATTCCATTAGATTCAACTTTGATTTGGTCATAAACTTCATCTATTTTGGCGATTTTTCCCCTAATGAACGTAACCGATGTTTTCAGATAAAATAATGCACTGTAATGGACAGTGAAAGATAAAAATCTTCGACATAAGGGGGAAAGACATTTAAGTCAAATCATAGACCTTACATATATTTATAAGCTCTAATTGTGTGATTCCTAAGACAATGTCATAGTTGTAAATAAATTTTGTATTCCATAAATTAACTTCATACCTAATCCCAGTATTATCTATGTAAAGTAACAAAGCATTTGGATCTCGTTCTGTTTTAACAATTACTTAATTAAACAAAATCGTTCTTTATTGTTGATTGTACTTTAGGAGCATATCAGATGATAAGAAAATAGTGGTATTTCTCTTATCTACCCACGTATGTCAGATTATAGGAAAAATCCATGATATATCGATTATCTACCCAGCTACGCCAGATGACTTAAACTATGTCTATTAGTACTTTTTCTAAAGTCAGATAACAAAAGATACGAGGGCTGTTCGAAAATTATTGAGACAATTAATTTAACTCCATAAAGGTCAGAGATAATTTCAGGAAAATTCGTCAACATTTTATAAAGAACGAATAAAACAATTATACAAAATTTCTTATTTAAAGGATAACTAGATAAGTTCTGTTGAAATAATAAAAATGCATATGTCTATCGACCTGGAGCAGCATCGCTACGTCATTTTAACGTCACGTCAGTCGGAGATGATTTTGCATGTGAAACGATCGGGAAGCGTTTACTCTTCTTTCTTTGTTATCATAATTATATACTCTACAAAAATCAAACTGTCTCTTTTCTTAAATGATTCTTTAAAAAATGTGTGCTGTAGCTTCACTATTGTACATTTTTCATGCATCATTTATACAGGATGACAAAGCGGGTCTACGTTATTAATTCCGTTACGGTAAAAATTGATGGTAGTCCGGGGCTTTTGATTTTACTGGTTAGAAAAAAATATATACCAATGAAATACATGTAACAAACCCTTAGACATGTTTTTTCCCAGTTGTTATTGTTTTAACAGGTTGGTCAGTCTGGGAAGGAGTTTTACATAGCGCTACACAAAATTTTAGGTCTTTCGCTGCTCCGCCTTGACGTCAAAATCCGTTTTGTCGTCGTTATCAGATTTCTTTACCGCGCTTAATTTTTTTTAATGATCTCCGTATTTCTAATCAGTGTTCTAACAAACTTGCACAACTTGAAGTCAAAATAAAATTGAAAAATTATATACATAAATTGAATTATTTTCGCTCTGATTATGGGTCCACCGGGGTGTTGAACATTGGTGTTACATATTTTCAATATCTGATTTCATGACTGCGCCGGGTACCCCTACCATTGACACATTTATATACCATTGAAGAGAAAAAAATTAATATTTGTAAATTATTTCTTGCTTTTATGAATTCTTAATGTTTGTCAAACGTATATGCAAATTTTCACCGAAAGACGTTCATTAGAAAGAAAAATATACAAAATGTCTCAATAATTTCCGAACAGCCCTCGTAAATGCTTATTAGTACTTATGTTTCTTCGAGGGAATATCAAAATGTTTAAAGTTACCTAAGAAAAAATGTTTAAATATAACAAGAAATTATGAATATTCGCGCGTCTATTACCTTTACAAAAATTACAAAATATCAGTCTGTTCATTAATAATCAGAACACATAATGTGGATAGTGTATATATTGATATTTGATTAAAATTGTTTGATTTCATTTCATTTAAGGTTGTGTTTGATACATATGTACGCAAATAAAAAAGGGTGCCAAAGTAATGTATCAGATCTTTTTTTTATTTGAACCTATACTCACTCACTCAAATCCTCTCTGCGCCGTCAAGTGCTTGAGGCGACTACAAGGGATGTCCACCTGGTTCTGCCTGTAGCTACTCGAGGCGCTATCTCCATAGTCAGACCTCAGCTCTTCAGGTCGTTTCCAGGTCTCTCTTGGTCGGCCTCTATTCCTTTTTTCCCTGGGGTGTCCATCGAAGGGTAACCCTGCGCAGTGATATTAAAAAGATGCTTGGGTTTCTGGTTGAAAATATCTTTGTAGCTTTTGGAGATCAGGTCTTCCAACAATCTGTCGGAATTCCCATGGGTGCCAATTGCGCCCAATTATTAAAGGACCTATTTCTGTATTCATATGAAGCAGAATTTATTCAAAAACTTATACATGAGAAGACACTTGCTGTAGCCCTCAGCTCAACGTTTACGTATATCGAAGACGTTCTTATCTATTAATAATAGTTACTTCAATTTGTATGTTCACCGATATATCCGAGTGAACTTGAAATAAAAGATACCACAGAGTCTGACACATCTGGATATTTAACAGGAAAAAGATATTAATGGTAACCTAACAATAAAACTTTATGATAAATGTGATGACTTCAACTTTTCTATTCAAATTCCCACACTTATGTAGCAATATACCCTTATCAACTGCATATGGGGTTTATATCTCCCAATTGATTCAATAAACAAGAGTATGCTCCTCGTAACACCAATTTCTAAGACGAGACAGGCTATTGACAAACAAGTTGATGAAACAAGGATATCAATAGTCTCGTTTAAAGTCATCTTTTCGCAAATTCTGTGGTCGATACAATGACGTTGTCAGCAAATATAATCTATCATTAAGTCGAATGCTGACTGATGTTTTTCATGCTAATTGTTGGGCCATTATTTATACACTAAATTGTCTACGGATTTCTCCGTTTGCCTGATCATGACAATGAACACACAGCGGGTGTGACCGATCGAGAGGGGGTGCTTACTCCTCCATGGCACCTGATCCCACCTGTGATGGTTTTTTTTTTGAAATCCGTGTTTGCTCTGCTCCCGATTTGTATTGTTTTGATGGACTTTTGAGCTTGATAACTGTTCGTTATATCCATATTTCACTTCAATCCGACTTTGTTAGCAGTTGCACTGAAATTTTCTTCATGACCCAGTTGATTGCGAGGGATAAAAGCACACCCTTGTTTCACTCCGGTGTTCACTGAAAAGGGGTCTGTGAGGGGGTTGTTACGTATCACTCGACACTCAAAGTTTTCATATAGGGACTGGATGATATGAACTCGTTTCTAAGGGGAGCCGTAGCTGCGCAGGATCTTCCAGAGAGACTCACGGTGTGGTCACTACCGATATCAGCATGGCGTATTGCTCGCACGTCCTGTTGAGAGTACCTCCATTTACTATTAATCATAATGTGATCGATCTGACTTTTGGTGTGTCCAACTGGTAAAATCCAATTCAAGTTGTGGATGGTTTTATGAGCAAAAGAGTGTCACCTATGACAAAGTCAATTTCCTCACACATACATGTACTGATGAGCCTTTCGCCATTGTCTGTGATGTCGACCACTGCATGTTGACCCATCAATCTTCTCCTGTTGTGATTAGTCTGCCTAACTCTTGCATTGAAGTCTCCATTAGTAAGCCTTGGAAAGTCATCACGTACTGCTTGTAGAGAGCTGTAGAAGTTTTTTGCTTCTTTTGCATTGTCAGTTGGTGCATAAGCACTCAAAATGGATATCTTCGCGTACCGTTAGTTGACATACAATGGACGTTCATTGATAGGCTTCCGCTGAAAGACAAACTATTCTATAAGTAGATAATTTATGGAACTCTTGTTTCTTGAATTTTGTCTCACGGTTTAATTTTGAAAAAAATCCTATAGTTGTCAGATTTTGAGTAGAGGTATCCTAAAAATTATTCCGACTAACAGTCGAAGAAAAACAAAACCGACTTTTATAAAACCCCATGTGTAACAAAGTGCTGAATGAAGTCATCATCTTATATTTAGTTTAAATCTTCAAGCATCTTGAGATAAAATTATATCCAGCAAGCAACTTAAGTCTGGATTATATCCAGCAAACAGTTAACTCAGCAAGAATTTTAAGTCTACATTATATCCAGCAGGCATCTTCAGTCTGCATCATCTATAGTCTACATTATCTCCAGCAAGCATTTTTAATCTGCAATATCTATAGTCTTCATTATATCCAGCAAGCACATTAAGTCTGCAATATCTATAGTCTTCATTATATCCAGCAAGCACATTAAGTCTGCAATATCTGTAGTCTTCATTATATCCAGCAAGCACATTAAGTCTGCAATATCTGTAGTCTTCATTATATCCAGCAAGCACATTAAGTCTGCAATATCTATAGTCTTCATTATATCCAGCAAGCACATTAAGTCTGCAATATCTGTAGTCTTCATTATATCCAGCAAGCACATCAATAGTCTTCATTATTTTCTGCAAGCAAGTCTGCTTGCATCTTTAGTCTGTATAATGTCCTGCAAGAACCCTAATTGCAGAGCATGAAAGTTTTGTTTATACTTAGCATGCATTTAAAGTCTGCATTATTCCAGGAAGCATATTAAGTTTTCATTATATGCAACATGTATCTTGTATCTCGATCATACTCAACAAGCATCATAAGTCTAGATTATATCCAACAAACCACAGCAGCTAGTTTTAAATATGTATTATAACTTTTTGCCTAGGATAAATTGTGAAAATCTTCTCAACCAAACCAAGAACTATAGTAGCCTGAAAATTTTAATAATCACAATTCATTTGGACGTGATCTAAAACAACATTTGATTTGTATCTTCAGGTTTTGGACTGCTGGAGAGCGGATCTGTAACGGTTAAAAATGAAGTTAACATTATGATGAAGAATTCTGTGGACGTAATGTTTGGTGGGCTAACATTCTGGATGTTTGGTTACGGTCTGGGATTCGGGGACGAGCCTGGGACCAACCCATTCTGTGGGTGGGGCGATTTCTTCGTCCACGCCAATTCCTCTGAATTAGGATGGATTTACTCTAAATTCTTTTTCCAGTCGTCCTTTGCAACAACAGCAACAACCATTGTATCTGGTGAGAACACACATGTAAACCATGCTACACGGATTGAAATTCGGTTTTGAAGGTCCCTTAAATTTTAAGGAAGTCCGATCCTCAGGTTCTGAAAATCAGCAGTTGAGTAATTAAAAATGTTCACAAAAATGTCTCTAAATTCACAAAATAATGGGTATTTACCCATGGTATCTCTTCAAAGTTCATCATTGAAGTTAATCATATTATAAAGGGGAAATTACCAAATCTCAGATATATTTTCAGGAAACATAAATAAAAGCACCAGCTATGCATTTTGTAATTTAATATTGATCAACAAATATATTTTAGGATAAATTAGAATAGGTATCCAGGAATTTGGAGAAAATTGCATGTTTTTATACTTATATTATATGTTAGTTCTTCTATTTACTTTGATTGTTACATAATAAATGCTGTAAAAAGCATGTTCTATCACTGCAAAACATCACAGATCACATGTAATTTCACCTTATGCTAATAAGTGATGGTACCTAAGGCTAGATTACAGGAAATTCGATCTCTCTAAAATGTATTTATTTTTGTTCTTTTATGGGGTAAAAATGTCAACTTTTTACAATACTTTTTCGAAGACTTCAAAGAACCTTTAATCATATTGAGATGCATAAAATGAAAATTATTGCACGGAAAGATTTCAATTTAATGCTTTCCTCTGGGACTTTTTGAATTAAATAATGATTTTAAGAGTTATCCGTCCTGGCTGAGGATCGGATATCCTTAATGTAATAAATAAATGAATATATATATATATATATATATATATATATATATATATATATATATATATATATATATATATATATATATATATATATATTTCGATTTGTCTCTTTGTTTTACTTCACTATTTTCCTACTTTCTACACAACATGTCGTCAAATTAAGATGAATAGATCTGTTTAGCTTGGATTCATTATAAGGGACAACGTATGCTTTATCAGGTAATTCGACTATGTTATTTAGAGCATACCTAATTACAGAAAATTGGGCTTTCCTTCCATTAAAACGACGAAATGATTATACTTGATAATCCATCACGATACGCTTTTTATCTAATTAAATAAAATACATTCTTTTAAGATTTTTTATGACATTGCGTGTTCATCAGACTCCACGAGGATCAAGGTGATGGGCATTTTAGAATTGAAGAAATTTCTAATTTTGTTGATTAGTCTTTTGAAAATTCGATTGGTAATTAAACGAAACAAGCATCTAGTCCGGTTCCCATCTAGTCACAAAGCTTGAAAATAATGCAGCTTGCTTGTACATGCTATTGTAGACACTGCAGACCTTTTCACAAAAAATATTACAGCTAAGACAAAAATATCCCAATGCTTCAAAGGAAGATGGGTGAACATGACGAGCAAAAAGCATATAGTGTGACAAACATGAAGGTGAAAAATTATATCTCAATTATATCAAAATTTTCCTTGATATTTCATCTAACATTAAAATATACTTTATGTAAAATCTCTACAATTGGCAAAAATCTCACAAAGATTGAAATTATTTGTTTATGAAATTGCATACACACACTAAAGAGGCCAAAACGAGTCATTTTCTCATACTATAACACAATTTTTCGATATGAGTGGGTCTTCGCTCCATTTTTTTGAAAGTTAATCTTCACAGTTTGCATAAAAAAAAAACAAAACATTTTTTGGTCAACAAAAATATGGAGCAAAGACCCACTATACCTTAAAGATATACTTTTATGACAACATTCGCATCTTTTCGAGAAATACTTGAAGTCCATTAAGTCAAGGGTCATATCACAAACATTACTTAAATGCCACTAATCATCAAGTCTTGTGTAGTCTAGTGGTTAGCGCGCTAGTCTTGAAAGAAAATGATCCCCAGGATTTTTATTGCTAGGGTTCGAGCCCAACGAATACCACATTATTTTGTAATAAAAGAATAAATTTTGCCGAGAAAAATTTCCTCAGAAAAGTTTTGTTTATCATAATTTTATAAATTTCAATAATGAGAACTTTATTCTAAATACTAAATTCACAAATTGAACATGATTTTTATATATCTGAAGCTATAGGCTTTCTGCACGTTATGTTCGCCCATCTCCTTTATTTAAAATAGAGTAGTCACAAGAATTTTTTTTTTACATTAATACACATTGTGGGTAATCATTATCTTTAATAAACAATGAAATCGTGATACGAGACTGACGGATCAACAGACGGACAGACCTGTGAGAAGGAACATGAGAGTGTGATCATGGTGACTAACGTCCACAAAAATGACCAGGATCGAGACTTGTACTTCATAGGATCAATGGCAGAGAGAACTCGTCTGGACGCATACATCGTGTTCTCCATGCTGAACACTTTCATTTTCTGCATACCTGCTCACTGGACTTGGGCGCCTGGGGGTTGGCTGTACGAATTAGGGGTAATTGACATCGCAGGTGCGGGACCAGTTCATCTCGTGGGTGGTTTGACTGGTTTGGTTGCAACACTGATGTTGAAACCGAGGCATGGGCGATTTTCTTCAGATAAGAGTAAACGGCCTCCCATGGGTTCCCCGACAAATGCCATTCTTGGAATGTTCATGCTTTGGTTGGTGTTATTTTCTTTTCATCTTTAGATCTTTAGAATATGTCGTGATAATTTGACGCTCGACCCTCAAAACTAAACAAAAAATGTCAAAATCTTTCAATCATTCAAGATTTGGACAGAACGTGTATAAAAGTCAGGACCACAGTTTACATATGCTGTATTCTGAATGTGAGAGATATTTTTTCTATATACAGGTGGGGCTGGCTTGGTTTCAACTGTGGGAGTACATTTGGCATATCTGGTCTCAAATGGAAACTTGCAGCCAGGTGCAAATTTAATTAAAAAAAAAATTTAGAAAATCGTTGTTCTTGAATTGTGTTGGTATAATACATGTGAAGAAATTTCTATTCCAGGTCAGCTGTGACTACTGCTCTTTCATCCGTGGCCGGGGGTATTGTGGGAATTATGACCAGGTTAAGTATCACTGTGGTAAAACCACATAGTTGTTTCTTTTCTCTTCTATTTTGAACTGTTAGATCACCGTGTATAATATAAATTTCTGACAATTTATGTTCTCTGTAATATGTCATTTGTGGAAAATGAAAATTTACCATTTTGAGTGGTGGATCCACCAGACTCGGCAGTTTAATTAGAATAGCATACTGTAACAACTAAACAATCAGAGAATCTCAGCTTAAGGTACAGAACGGAATTTGTCCTGTTATTTTGGGTAGGGAAATAGCTGTATGAAGTTCGCCGTTTCTTCACTAACGTAATTGAGCTGGATATTATAACAAGGAAGTAAATTAAAAATTGGCTCCTTCCGTCAACTGACCGAAGGCTTCATAGAGAATGCACAATAAGCTGATGAGGTTCACACAGATGATACTGATGCTAAATTTACTAGAAGCGTTATGGGATTCAAATCCATTGAAATCGTTATAAAGCTTTAAATGCATGTAAAGTATTTGTTTTCCAGGTAGAATATTAATATTTTATGAAATAAAATCCCTTGATACAGAACTGTATTTACATTAGAACCCTGTCCCTATTAATTCTCTGATTTTGTTTCATTGCTAGGAATAAATGATAATACATGTACCATTAGGGTTCCTCAAATTCATTCTCATATTTTTATATTAAATTTTAAAGCTTTCAGTAAAATCTTTATGTTTAAATGAATGTCAACGATTTACAAGTCAAACTTTATATCTGTATTTTTATCATGTCAGTTTATTGTCTTGTCACGGAACTGCCAAAGTAACATAAAAATAATAAAGAATATTTTTCGTTAAAAAAAAAATCAGTGTGGAGATGCATGCATTTCAAGTGTGTGTGGCGTGTGTATATTGATTGGCTATTTTAAATTTTTGTAAGCCACAAGCTTTTTTAATTTTTTTTCTACTGCTTGTTTTCGTTGGGTCTTTCTTGTTTTCATTTCCTTTTTTCTCTGTTGTTAATCAAAGGTTTTGAAATTTCAGAATAGACGCTATAGCCTCTACTTAGGCATTTGCAAATCTCGATCGTGGTAGAACCATGATCTCTTGTGGTTCTTAAAAAAATGAACCCATCAAATTTTCAAGGGGCACTTGTTTTTCGGATCAAAACACTGTAAAACTTCTTGTTAAGAATCTTACCTGGTGAAATATCAATACGAATTGACTATTGTAATGTAGAGCTGCAATTATTTGAATATATACCCGGAATCAAGCTGATCTAGAAACTTTAATCAGTCGTCTGGGAAATGTAGGTCACTTTCAGCATCTATAAATTCTATAATATTGTCTGTTATCAGTTGCTATATTCAATAAGATGTGTTTATGAAAGATCATGAGGTAAAAAATAATGGTACAGAAAGAAAGGTCTTGTCACAGGAAATACCATGATACACATATGAAATATGAACGCCCTAGCACAAACACTTCGGAAGTTATTTTCTCAAAGGAAGGTCATACTCCAAGGTCAAGGAGTCACAAAAATTAGGACCCCAAGAAAGATGTAACAAGAAATACACATGTGAAATATGAAAGCCAGAGCACTAACTGTTCAGAAGTTACGGATAAGATTGAAGTTTTTCAAAATAGGTCAAACTACATATTACGTCAAGGTAAAGTAAAAAATAACTAAACCCCAAAAAAGCCTTGTCATATGGAATACAAATATGTAATATGGAAGCCCCAGAACAATTTGTTCAGAAGTTATGGTCAAGGTTAAAGTCGGTTGAAGTTTCACAAAAATAGGTAAAAATCGTAGGTCAAGGTCATGAGGTCAAAAATGTTGGTACGCACAGTAAAATCTTGTCACAAGGAATACGCATATGAAATATAAACCAACCGTTTAAAAGTTATGAGCAAGGTTAATGTTTTTGCGGACAGACCAAAAATTATGCCTCCGAATCTTCGATTACGGAGGCATAATTATAGCAATACTAAAATATATAGAGAGAGTTACCGTGACAATCTTTTTCAGCCCTTAGATGTTAATACCAAAACCTCACAGCATACTAGTATGTGTCATGTAAGGTCTGAAACAATGCGTACAGCTTCCAAAGCTCACAGACTTTAAATATCAAAGAACACTCCAACTTAAATTATTTTAAGTATGGTTTGGGGCTTTGGGCCAGTAAAATCGTTGCTATACTCTGGGTAATATTTGATAACACTGGGATGTCTTTTTTCTCATGTCAACGTGAATAAAATTAAATCTTAGAAAACTTGAGTTTGCATCTGATATCTTCAAGTGCTAGTCTGGTTTTCGTTTCGAGAGATCTATATCTCTATCTTGTTCTTACATTTTCGAATGCCTTTTCCTTTGCGTTGACCGAATTCGGGCTCTGGGATGGATACAAGTACATTTGATAGCATAGAATTTGTTTCCACAAAGTGTGCATGTAATCCTGCTTAGATGCTGAATCTGTATTTCTTGGATAGATAATGGTTCGATCCACCTCGATATCTGTCCTTTCGCATCTTTCTTGTTTAACAACCAACTAAAAGAATTGTGGTTAGTGCATACCACGAAAGGCTTATCATCCAGAGTATCTAAAATGCTGGACAAAGTTGACAATCGCTTCTTTTCAATCAATTTGGATTAATTCTTAAAGATATCTTCAAAGGTCTTGGCGAAGTGTAATCAAGGTAACTGAGGTTAGTGTCTTCTGTAGTATAGTCTCCAGCAACATGCCGAAGGTAGCCGGGCAATTACAATCTAAATGGCATTACAATGAAAAGAGACAAACCATTTTGAGAGACCATTGTCGTCTTGGGTTTATATTTTGTGCCCATCTCTATGCCAGTATCCTAATGGAAATGGAGAGTCAAAACCATTTGAATCCCGCCTGTTATAGTGTCTGTCTATAATTATCGGTATAGGATAGGCATCTTTCGCTGTGATGGCATTTAGGCGCCTATAAGCAACGCAAAACCTTGAGGATCCATTCTTTTTCTTTACTAAAACGACTCTTCATGGCCAGGGACTATTAGAAGGTTCATATCTTTATTTGCTAACTTTTCTTGACATATTTATCCACCTGTACATTCATGTGTTATTTGGACCTTCTTGGAACGTCTTTGATATTCTTGTCACTGCCTATATTTATGCTATAATTGGTCATAGCACTCCGTGAAACGTCTTTATAGGACTTTGTAAAGATGTTTTCGTATATACACAAAAGCTGTTTCACCATTTTTTGTCTTTTTCCCCCTTATCTTTGTTTTTGTTTTATTAGTCCCCTACCGGTGAAACCGGAGGGGACTATAGGTTTCCTCTGAGTCTGTCCGTCCGTCTGTCTGTCTGTCCGTCTGTCTGTCTGTCCCTCTGTCTGTCTGTCAGTCTGTCCCACTTGGTTTTCCGCACTTTTTTCCTAAACGCTTGCAGATATTCAGCTGATTTTTGGTATGTGAGTGTATCTTGATGAGTTACAGATCAAGTTTGCATTTCGTTCCGCTTCATTGATTTTTGACGGAATTACGGCCTTTTCAATTTTTACGGGTTTTCCGCAATTTACTTCTAAACGCTTGTAGATATTGAGCTGATTTTTGGTATGTGGCTTTACCTTGATTAGTTATAGATCAAGTTTGCATTTCGTCCCGCTTCATTAATTTTTGACGGAATTATGGCATTTTCAATTCTTAACGGGAACGGAACCAGATTACACTTGCCGGTAGGGGACTAGTATTGCTAATGCAATACTCTCAGAATGCTTGTTTTGCTTTGTATTTGTATAGAATAATTCCTCAGTCACGAAAATTAATCGTCGCGAATTGGTTTACAGTATGTAATTGCTCTTGATATTCCTGGAAATGTAGTTAAAATCATGTGAGATACTGTATTTTGTAATTCCTTGTTAAATGACAGATGAATATTAAGTTTTCCTTTTTTATTAGTCCCCTACCGGTGAAACCGGAGGGGACTATAGGTTTCCTCTGAGTCTGTCCGTCCGTCTGTCTGTCTGTCTGTCCGTCTGTCTGTCAGTCTGTCCCTCTGTCTGTCTGTCAGTCTGTCCCACTTGGTTTTCCGCACTTTTTTCCTAAACGCTTGCAGATATTCAGCTGATTTTTGGTATGTGAGTGTATCTTGATAAGTTACAGATCAAGTTTGCATTTCGTTCCGCTTCATTGAATTTTGACGGAATTACGGCCTTTTCAATTTTTAGGGGTTTTCCGCAATTTTCTTCTTAACGCTTTCAGATATTGAGCTGATTTTTGGTATGTGACTTAACTTTGATTAGTTATAGATCAAGTTTGCATTTCGTCCCGCTTCATTGATTTTGGACGGAATTATGGCATTTTCAATTCTTAACGGGAACCAGATTACACTTGCCGGTAGGGGACTAGTATTGCTAATGCAATACTCTCAGAATGCTTGTTTACAATGGTTCTAGGTATTCAGGTATAATCCCATTAGGATTCATGTACTCCACCTTCAAATGTCTTCGAATGGTGACATTTGTCAAATTGTAATATCTGTGTGTATTGTAATATTTCTTTCATTGGGTTAAGCAAACTACTAGAACACAGTTATTTCTTTTCATCCAGGTTCTTTCAAAAAGGCCGGAATTCAAATACGAACAAGAGCACTCCACAAAATTTCGTCCCTATTTCTTAATTTCTGCAACCATTACTTTCCCATTGGTGACTAATTCGCTCTTTCAAAGGAGAGACAAATAAAGTACACTTCCGTCCTTAAAAAATTAAGCTTAAACATACAATTTCTTAATTGTGTTTAGATCATCCCACCGCTGCAACCAATTTTTGTAATATGTTCTATGGGTTCCAAAAATATGAAATCACTTTGCCTATGGATTGGTTAAATAAACATAAAAAGAATTTATAATGTGTGGAATTAAATTACTTAAGTGCAGTGATTTTCTACTGATCCTAAATCGAGCTTTCCCGATGTGCTCTGGAACCATGCGTGTGAGCTTCCAAAGTTACCAGACTATAAGTGGCATAGAGTAGCATTTCCAAAAACTCCCACTTAAATGCATGTACTCTTAAGTATGGTTGAACCTTTTGTACCCCAAAAGGTATATATGCAGTTTATGAAGCACACTAAATTGCTTACTTTTTCTTTTGTGACTGCACTGATTAATTGCCGTTGATTTAATTTCTTTGAACATCTTTATGGCCAAAGACTCTTTGTTCATATTTATAACGTTTAAAGGTATCATAGCTAGCACAATGTATAGCATCTGATTAAAAGCTGATTTCCATATTGTCAATGAAATGTAAAAACCATTAACGAAAAAAATGAAGTTTATAATTAAAACAAACGGTATCTGGTTTTTGTGTTCGGAATGTAAAGTTATTGTAACTATAATGAAACCATGAATAAAAAAGATGTTTAAAAAGGTTTACCTAAGTCCCCGTTACATATGCTGATGTTACTCAGTTTTAGCATATGGCGATGTACTTCCAATATATGCATTTTTTTCAGTTATATTTTTAAGAACAGAAGATTTGACGTAGTATACACCATCAATGGCATTCTGGGTTCCCTTGTTGGGATTACTGGTAAGAATTATCTTTATCCGAGAGTGTTAGTTACTTAATTCATGTTGGTCCTCCTCTCGGTGAAAGATTTCGAATAACCGTGAACGGATTTCAATGAAATTGAAAGGAGTTGGGCGACCAAGTCGTGCAAAATGCCTATAGCTTCAAATGTATATGTCGTATTCATTTTGTGAATTTAGTATTTAAAGTAAGGTTCTGATCATTGATAGGTATGAAATTATGACAAGCAAAACTTTTTTGCGGAAAATTCTTACGGCAAAAATCATTCTATATTTTTTTTTTTTAAAAAAAAGTGATATTCTTTGGGTTCTAACCCAAGCAATAAAAATGCTGAGTGTCAATTTTCCCTACGAGAATAACACGCTAACCACTAAGCTATACCACTCATACCCCAAACATGTGCATTTAAAATCGTGCTTGTTATATGACCCTTGACTAATTTCTCGGAAAGACGAAAGTTTTGCCATAAAAGTGTATTTTATCTTTCAAAAAAAAATGGAGCGAAGACCCACTCATATGGAAAAATTGAGTTTTAGTATGAAGAATTGATCGTTTTTTTCCTCTTTGGTGCATGTATCCTATTCATGGATGAATAATTTCAATCTTCGTATGTATGCTATTCATGGATGAATAATTTGAATCTTCGCGAGATCGTTTCGATTTGTTTAGATTTTACGTTCCTAGTATACGTTAATGTTAAATGAAATATCAAAGAAAATTTGTCATAATTGAGATTTAATTTTTCCCTTTTTTATTTGTCGCACAAAAGGCATTTCGCTCGCCTTGTTCGAACATCTTTTGTTTTAGTGTTAATCATTTTTGCCCTCTTTGATGTACTAGTATGTATGTTACTTCATAGACAAATAATTTTGCCATTCTTGTAAGATTGTTGCAATTTGAGGAGATTTCACATAAAGTATACGTTAATATTAATTGAAAAATAGAAAAATTTGTCATAATAGAGATTTAATTTTTCACTTTCTTGATTGTTGCACAATAGGCATTTGCTCGCCTTGTATGCCCATAATATATACTTCGGGTAAGGAAGAATCGGTTAAAGATGTGAATACAAATATATTTTTAATTGTATTAATGTAGATTCCTTATTTTCGCGAGTACTTATTTTCGCGAAATGACTCTTTTACGTCAAATCGCGAGAACAATAATTCGCGAGTGGACGGTTGATCGAGATATTTTACATTGATTTCAGCACCATGAAAATAAAGGCGAGTAACTTTATTTCGCGAGTGGTGCTTCTCGCGTAATTACGCGATAATTTATTCCTCGCGTATATTTAGGAATCTACAGTAATATTGCATGAAGATTGATTGATTGTATGTTGTTTTACGCTCCATTCGAGAATTTTTCACTCATATAGAGACGTCACCATATACCGATGAAGGGCTTCAAATTTTGACCTTTATTCGGCGCTCAGGGCCATTGAGCAGTGAGGGATCTTTAACGTGCCAACGCCTGCCGTGACACGGGGCCTCGGTTTTTAAGGTCTCTTCCGAAGGACCCGCAACTTTCACTTCAAAGTGCCGAGCGCATGGCGAAGGAACAGTTGCTACCCATTTTTTATCGACTTAGGTCAGTCGCGGCCGAGATTCGAACTCACCTCCCGATCACGGAGCGAGCGCTCTACCGACTGAGCTACCGTGAACGGTATATTGCATAAAGATAGATCAACCAAACAATCTTAACAAAGAAAGAGAATATATTTATCATAAATTAGACTTTCGCGGGGATAGTTTGCTGCCTCTTTTAATGGGAATTAAAAATGACTTATGTTGTACTGCAAAGCGTCCTTTATTTTGTATAACGTATTTTATTTTTAACACAGCTAGCTGTGCCCTTGCTAAACCTTGGGAAGCCATGGTCATTGGAGTTTGTGCAAGCCTGATCACCAATGGGGTTTGCGCTCTGCTAGATAAACTAAAAATAGATGACCCTGTGGGTGAGTTCTTCTTCTTTTGTTAATGTGCTTGGATCCAATGTTAGGCATTTTTGCACATGTATAAAAGGTTAAAATCATGCTGAGTAAGGCCCCGTTAAAATCTGGATAAAATCATAAATATTTCTAATATGAGTAGGAGCTGATTCGGGACTTGAAGGCCTCGAAAGAATCAGCTGTGATCATGGATACTGGTAAATAAATGAATTCCAGATCACTACTCCGGGTGGGAAGAAGGAGTCTTGGTAGCATTCGAGGTGGCAGAATGGTTGTAAAAACCTCAGAGCATGATTGTCCTCTGGTTTAGTTGCTAGTTGGTTGTAAATGACAAGATGGAATGTCTATGAGGTCATACACAATCCTGTACATCATGGTGGCTCGTCCTGTTATCCGCCTGGACTGCAGGGTATCAAGATGGAGTTGTTGGAGCATAGACGTAACACTGCTTTTCTTGCTGTAATCGCCAATGATGTATCGTGCAGCCCCTCGTTGTACCGCTTCTATCCTTGTTGGTATGATCCCATACGATGGAGGCGTATTCGAGCTGGGGTCTCACTAGGGTCTTATAACTAGTTGCCTTGACGGACCGTGGGCAGCCAGAAAGGTTACGGCTCAAGAAAGCAATGGTGTTGTTGGCTTTTCTTGTGATGTTATTTATATGTGGTCCCCAGTTGAGCTTTTTACCGATGGTAACGCCCAGGTACTTTGCTTTGGTGGTGATCTACAAAGTTTGACCGTGGATGGAATAATTGGCCTTAATTATACGTCTCTTGTTGGTGATGCGTATAACTTTACATTTTTCTGGGTTGAAATTCATCATCCAATCAGACTCCCATACTTGTAGCTTGTTCAAGTCTTGCTGAAGAGTGGTTGTGTTCTCTTCATTGGTGATCTTTCGGTACAACAGGCAATCGTCTGCAGAGAACCTTGTTGTGGATTTGACACAGGATGGTAAGTCATTGATGTAAACCAGAAACAACAGTGGTCCAAGCACGCTACCCTGGGGTACTCCAGATGTTACAGAAGCAGCTGATGATATCTCCCCATCAACAACTACTTGTTGGCTTCTATCAACAAGAAAGTTTCTGACCCAGTCCAGTGTCTGTCCTCTCGAGCAACACTGCATCCACCTGCTGGCGTTGGTCAAGACTGCTGGCTAGATCATGGCTCGTTGTAACAAGTTGACTTTCACATGATCGTCTCTTTCTAAATCCATGCTGCTGGTCAGTGAGGATGTTATTTCTCTCGAGATGATTAATGACATAGCTATGGACTATATGCTCCAAGGTCTTACATTATGCAGAAGTGAGAGACTTTGGGCGATAGTAAGATGCCTTAGATTTATCTCCTTTCTTGAATAATGGTGTGACATATGCTGTTTTCAAATCGTCTGGGACGTTCTCTTGGACTAATGATGCTTGGAATGTGATGGTAGGTATAGGAGACACTGATGATGCCATTATCTTCAAAAATCTGGCTGAGATGTTGTCCGGTCTACTAGCCTTGTTAGGGTTGAGGTTATACAAAAGTTTGAGGACACCTTTTGATGTTATTTACCGCTTGGTAGGTTGTTTGAACATGGTCCGGTAGGTTACTAAGTGGTTCTGTATGGAACACAGATGAAAACTGCTGATACAAGATCTCTGCCTTATCCTTTGGACTTGAATGAAGTAAAACCTCGTTCCGCAAAGGGGAGACACCTGAACGGTCACAGCGCTTAATCTTGATGTACGAGTATAGTTTTTTGTTTGTTGAGCCCTCCTCTCCAAACATTTTGTTGATGTATTTGAGGTTTGACTTCCTACACTCTTTCCTGTTGGTACCCTGGGCCTCACGATATTTCCTCCAATCATTCTGTGTGTTTGTTATGCGGGCCTTTCTATGTGCATGTCGTTTCCTTCTACTAAGTCTCCGGATGTTTCGATCACATCATGGCTGATTGAAACGGCTTGAAGTGAACTTTGATGGTTCATGTGTGTTAATTGATGGAATAAGTGCAGATGCTTTGAAGTCAATCCACATCACATCTACTGGTGAATTGTTGATGAAATGTTGCTGGAATTTTGCCAGGTTGTCTTCCAAATCAGAACTGATAGCTTTGGTGTCTGCTTTGAACCTAAAGATATACGAGTCTCCTCGCTGGACGACGTCGTTGTGGCGTTGTGTTGATGTCTATTGATACTATGTCATGATCACTAAGTCCTGGAATTGGTCTTGCTTTATTGAGAATGGATGGTCTATTTGTTGCAAAGATGTTGTTACCACGCGTTGGGAAGTTGATGACTTGCTGACATCCAAGGTCGCCAAGGTCGCTAAAGGTGTCTATAAATTGTTGACTGATGGTAGATGGATAGCAATGTCCCTCAATTGAATCACATGCCCACTTGATATCGGGAAGATTTGCGTCCCAACCAGTCCACAGTGTGTGATCCAGATGATTACGATGTAACTCCTTTAGGGTGGTGCACATTTTGTTTGTGTAGTCTACATAATTTTTTGTAGGTCTATAAATGCTGCATACTATGATGGGTTTGCTTTTATCCTTAGAAGGGATTGATGCAGGAACCATTTCTGTTCGACTCAGTAGCGTTATTTCTGTACATGTTTATTCAGGCAAACTTCTAACAACATTTGTACATTGTAATGATTATCTTCTAGAATCTGAGTATTCATATTATCAAAGGAATGGGCGACCCTACCGTCGTGAGTCAATGTGTGACTACATTATCAACACAGAAAGGAACAATCAGTAATCATACACATTGGATCTGCCAATGCCTATTTTATGATATTATATACTTAATATCATTTCAGATTTTTTTTTCATCTTTTACCTGCAACCCGGCTCTTCAATTTATTTTTTCCCCATAATACATGAAGCTTCTTTATTTGGAGTAGGAGGGGGTGGGGTGGGGGGTTAAGCATTGACCGAGTATAGCTACTAACAGTGCCGCCTGTACAGTTACTGAAGATCAAAGGGATTTCACTGCAAATATGATGTGAAAAATAACCCGAACAATACCTGAATACTAAAGGAAACCACCGCAAAATACCTAAAAACCAAAGGGAATCCCCGCAAATAGGTGATAAATATCAAAAACATGTCAAAACCATGCCCTATTAAAAGAGCCATAGCGCATTTGATAGGCATTTTCGCCTACTCTACTAGTGATTTCTTAAATACATTTCTTAACCAAAATTTTGTCCTACAGTCTTAGTTTATACATGCGTAAAACCAAATCACACAATAATGATATTTAAATGTTAATAGTTCCCTCATATGATAAATTTGAAAATTATCCAGTTTGTATAGAATATATAGTAAATATTGAAATATCCACCTAACGATGACAAACTGTTGCCAAAGACCACCCTTAACCAGAAAAACAACTTTTGAATAATTTTATTTGGATATATCTCCACTTCATTTCCTTTAGATAGTTTTGGTTAAAGGTGGTCTTCATATTGAAAATGATGAAAACACATATTAAATTTTTCTTCTCATATAATCGTAAGATTTAGCAATCTGTCTTAAATTTATCCACTTGACATCATTGACTTCGCTGGCGCAGCGGTATGATTGCTGGAGTGTAAATATGGTGATTGCGAGTTCGAGCCCCACATTTTTCTTTTTATGTTTTTTTTTTCTTTGTGTATCTTTTCTTCGTTTTTCTTCATTATGTTTTATAATATACACAATTTCAGAAAGTTATAATATACACATTACACTTTGAAAGTATCTCGGGAAAAGACAGTCCTTATTTTATTAAAGTTTGCAAATTCATATCAACTTGTTTTATTTTTATTGATTTTCTGCGTAAATCTTTTGTCTCAGAATTAGAGTGTTGAACAAGTAAAATGATTGTCATTTGACATACTTGCAACTATGAAAATATAACACTCGTCCTCAAATCATAGTACATAGTTTGCTCATGAATTGAACAGGTACAGTATATCTATAAATAGAAACAGGTGATTTCCTTCTAAATTCTTGAGTCGGCCATGTCGTCGGTAAGGCAGCTATGGCTCTTTCAGGTTGTGTTGGAACTCATGCAGCAAGTGGTATGTTCAGTCTTCTTGCATCTGGGTTGCTGACCGAAAAAGATGAACTGGCTAATGCCCTACAGCTACAACGAGTACGCACGGGACTAGTTTACGTACGTAACAATTGATTAGACTTCATGCTTTAAATAAAGCTTTTTCTAGGTGTCTTCTGTCCAGTATCACTTTCAAAAATGTGTTTCATTTGCTTTTTTTTAGTCTGGTAATTTATATCAACTTGGGATACAAGCCGTGGCTGTAGTTTCGATATGTGCTTGGACAATTATCACATCTTACATATTTCTGAAGCTGATCCAGATTAGTGTTGGTCTCAGAGTCACACTGGAGGAAGAAATAATAGGTTCTGACATTGTAGAGCATGCAGTAGGAGGCGTTCATTATGACAAAAAAACTCGGATGATAGTGTCAGATATACCCAATCACGAAGAGCCAGACATAATACGTCATCATGATCAACAGACCACAGTTTTACATCGAAGACAATCTCATACTTATGGAAGACGGATGTCGTGCCAAAGTGAAGGTTGCAATGATAGCATATGCATTTATTTACCAGAACTCCCAGTTGTGAAAGAGAACAAATCGAAAAGATATATACTTAAGAAATTAACTAAAAATATAGCAAGCAGGTGTATTGGGAGTAAGAAACATGTTTTGTTCAACCATGAAATTCACAACACAGTCAGCACCGGTGAAGGACAAGGAGATATAAGCGTGGTTCAACCTAAATATCTGCTCCCTTCGCTCCCATTCTGTAAAGAAAATGAAGAATTAGAGAGAGAAAAGACCACAACTTACGTTTAAGATGTGAACAATTAACCAATAACTCGGTACATTAATAGCATTGTCTGCTGCAAACTAAATAAGATAAGATCATTACGTTGAGTTGTTCTAAATATTGTAATAAAATTTAAAAATTTTTATTTTATTAAAATTATTAGCAATTTCTAGGTACGTAATGTTTTTACGTATGCAGGTAGGCTGTGGTGTACGTTGAACATGTCCAGGTATTTAAGGCAACTCATCAAGTACATCCACAAGAAATACACCATGTATAAAGAGACAAAAGTATCAAAACCATATTTCATCAGCATTTTGAGAGATAGAATTCTAGCAGCAATGTTTATAAATATGCTTTCCAATGATTATCTCTGGCTGGAGATCTTTAAAGCTGAACATGACTGGTAAACCATACCATATTATGTTTTCCTACATCCGATATCAGCACGGCGGTATACCCTTTGCATTCGTTACATTTGATTGTTTTTGGTCGCTGCTGCTGAAGAAAGTACGTACATGTTACTCTGACTTTGATGTTTTGCTGATAAGAGTCGGCCATCTTACATTGCCTTTGTCTTTTCATTTTTTTTTTTACATTTTACGTGCACTTTGTTTATTTGTATCAGACAAATAGAAGAACATACAATTTTGTTTTATTTTTATGTTACCCGAGTCCTTCTAATGACCTATTTCATATTATGAGGGGCCGTTTTGCCATTAAGTGATATCACCTATTCAATTTGAATGAGTGACATCATCTATTCGAAAAGATGATATTACCTATTCGAATAGGTGATATCACTATATGGCAAGAAATACCAAACCTATTGGATTTCGTCCGTCATCGGTTAACTTTTGAGATTTTAAGATTATTCTCTGCAATGGCTAACAAATTCAACCAATTGTATAGTGTGTATCACTATGGGTAAAATGGGAACATTTTCTGCCTCCTTGGGTCTGAGGTGTAAATGCATAAAATCATATTCTTACTGACACCTAGTAGGCAAACTGCAGCCTGAATAGTTATGAGTACTCAACCTTTTATCATAATTGTGAGTAGTCATATGGTCCCTGTTTTTGACAGACTTGACGTTTGTAAGCCAGTTCGTAAGGTGTACGAAACAAATGTAATTAACCTGTTTCTATAACGTCACACTCTGAGGAAGGTCTGGAACACTAACGAATTTCCGACACCATCTCAGTAAAGACTCTGTGGTATTTCGCTGCACAATGAACGTCTTTGAACTTCGATTCATGAAATATCCAGCTTGCAGCATACAAACAGCTCTTTCAATTTCCTTCATTCGGCGCATTGCTTGGAGATTAATGAATTCCAATCAATGTTGTTTTTCTGACTTTTAAAAAGTATGATACAATAGAAAACACAAATGGCATTATAAAATACTTTCAAGACACGTTTATTAATGCAGCATCTTGAGTTAGATTTTCAAACTAAATGCGATAAGAAGTGAATAATATAAGCTAGTATATTTATGATGAAAACAATTATATTGTTATGGGAAATAATCCGAAATACATGTACCACCATTAGAAATCAATCCCTCTTTTCAAAACTTAACAATTTATTTAAAATAAAATGTATATATATATAAAATGTATATATATATATATATATATATATATATATATATATATATATATATATATATATATATATATATATATATATATATATATATATATATATATATACAAACTCGAAGTTAAAGCTCAGAAAACAGTATACATCGCTGTTGCCTTTGAGTTCAACATTTTTAGATAATTTTTAAATATAGAGTCCTATAGTGTAAACAAGCAATTCAGTGAAGTCTAGTTCGTATACATAGAATATCCAACAAGTTGCTGTCCTTAAAATGGGACTACAATACGTGGACAATAGGCATTTATTTCAAACAAAAATCTAAAACTTATATGAGTTGTAATGAAAATAATTATTTTTAAATAGATTTCTTTCACCTTGAAACGTTTCATTATGAAACTAATAGGGCTGGGCAATAATACCAATAATCTGGTATATTGCGGTATGTTGACAAAAATATCGTATTGCAATACTTTTGTAATAGTGATATACCGACAAAATACACGGACTCAGGAATTCTATCATAAAATTAAAAGAAAAGTCAGAAAGGTTTGCGATCATGCCAAACAGAAAGACGAAAGCTGTTGTGTGGGAGTATTTAGTTGCATAACTGTAATTCAATCAACAAGATATCTTTTATTGTTTTTTTTTATCATAGTTATGTACATTCTACATGTAAAATGAAGTTAAAATAAAGAGAATATTCCATTTAAATTTTTGCTGAAAATATTGCAATACATATAGCAGTACAGTTAAAAATATTGCAATATATCGCGATACGAAATCTCTAGCCAATACCCAGCCCTATGAACTGACTTAAAACATAATTGCTAAAGCTGTATTAAGATAATTCATAGAAGCACGGCCTATATATAAATAAATGATCTAGGATCTGTTTCATTCATGCATTATATATATAGCCTTGACCTTTAACTCAGAATTAAAAAGGGTTATCTAAGTATCACAATAACCATTTATTTGAAATGTTTGGCTAAAGCCCAGAATTTAAAATTTATCCAGTTTATATTAAACCTTCTCTCCACCCCACACCCCACCCCACCCCATCTTTTTATATTGAAAGGTTGCAAGTTTTGGCTCGAAGAGGACGAATTGTCTTTAAAAAAGCCAAATGTTTTTAGGAACGATATGTCTAGCATTCCTGGGCATGCATAAGCCGACTTTTCCCCATAGCATCCGTTTTAACCTATACGCAAAGAAGCATGTACATGTACGATCTGAGCAAACCGCAGAATTTACAGTATATACTTAAACACAAATCAAGCAAATTCTATTCGAGAAATATTTCAAAAATAAGTGAAAAACAAAAGAAATTAATAACACTCTCACTGGAAAGTCCTAAAAATGTGTCTTAATTTTTATTATTGAGGAATACTCTAGAGGTTCAAGTGAGGTGAGTAACCCTAGATTACTAGGGCTTACATTTTCCGGATGAATGAACAGGTTAACGATTTTGGACCAGTTTCATTCTCAAGTAAAACCGTAAACCCTATTTGGACCACGACCAGCGATGCACACAAATCAGACTTGCTTCAGATGCTGGATCTGGCTCATACATGTATTTTCCGAATAAGTAACCAGGTTAAAGTTTTTGGAGCAGGTTCATCGTATAGTTACTATTAACCCTACGGTGACCAATGGTTGCATGGATAATTCATGTAGGGATGAAAGCTACCAGACTTACTTCGGATGTTGGAACTGACCTACATTTTCTGGATGAGTCAATAGGATTTTGGAGCAAGTTCATTCTCATAAAAGCCGTACATGGACCAAACTTGCACGGATGACTGCATCTTGGTGTACATACAGCTGACTTGCTTCAGATGCTGGATATGAGCTAGATTTTCAAAATAAGTGCAGATTCAATCCCAAGTAACTATAAACCTTCTGGTGACGTAACTCGCAATGACGATGCATTTAAGGATGCACACCATAAGACTTGTTTTGGATGCTGGATCCGACCTACATTTTCCAGATGAGTTAAAAGGTTAAAGTTTTTTGAGCATTCCTAAGTAACATTAAGCCCTACCTGAGCCTAACTTGCATGGATGATTCATTTAGGGATGAAAGCTACCAGACTTGCCTCGGATTCTGGATTTAAGATACATTTTCTGGATGATTGACCAGATTAAAGTTTTTTTGTAGAGGTTCATTCCAAAGTTTATACAAGACTACAAGTTCTGTGCTGACCTAAATTGCATGAATGGTGCATCAATGGATGCATGCGCACTACCTGGCTTGCTTCATATGTTGAATCTTGCTTACATTTTCCAGATAATTAAACAATTTTGTTGCGCAAACCCATTCTAAAGTAACTAGAATCCTAAAACTTGCATAAATGTTGCACCTATAGGTGAACACTAACAGAACATTTGTTTTGTATGAGACTTTGTCTTACTGTACAGGGAGCTCTAATCAGCAGCAGTTTGTATCTAAGAGCGTAGCAGAGTTGCAGCCAATATTTGATAAATGAACTCTGTTGACCTTTGCTGCATATAATCCAGAAGATTGAAAGACTACATTCACTGGGTATGTCCTTGGCAAGGCAAGTTAATCTGCAATCTGTATCGGGTAAAATAGAGACAGCTTCTTCCAGTATTGTGTCCACATTGCATAAAAAAAATGCTCTCTCCAGAACACAACGCAAGGATACTAGGGTATGGAGAAAAGGTTCTTAATTTTGTAGCAAGTTTCCCCACTTCATGTTGATGAAATTATTTGGGCCTACAGGAAGAGCTAATATTAATGAGTTGGTTCTATGAAGCGCCATCGTGGGAGTTACTAAAACATTGAAGCTGCAGCCTAGAACTCTCTTGAGGATTCTTACTCATGATTTGTCATCAGGAACGGTCGAAAGCCTTTCCCTCTTTCACAAGATGGAACAATTTTACCCAACACCAACCGCGGTGGTCAAGTGATTAGGACACTTGTTTTGCAACCTGGGTTCAATCTCGAGCCCGATGTCAACTCACCTTAGGGCCAGTACACACAGTAAGACTTGCCTTTCGGCTGTGACCTTTAAAACGTACATGGAGATCCCTTTTCATGATTGGCGTTGGAACGAAGAACGCTCACTGCTACAGTCGTAACCATCATGCATAAGTCATTTTTGTGACGAAGCGTCCCTACATCAGTGAAAAAATTCTGGAATTTCACATAAAACAACATTAGATAAGAATCATGAATTGCAGCTAGGTTTGTAAGATCAAAGAATATTTACACAAAAGTGGGCCATGAATGTCGTGTAGATAAGGGCCATATTCTCCCCAAGACCTTATGGTTTTGCTTAGAATCATGCCATGCCCATATCTGCGTCGGGTAAGACATTACACCTGACAGGAAGGCTTCACTCTCACTTGTCACTGTGATAAAGACTCAGGTAGATGATACCCCCTTCCCCTTACCCCAAATAATTTTCAAATATACTTCTGGAGAGGAAAGGATATCACCCTAGCTTTAAAATTTTTCGTCTCATGCCAATCAGTAAAAGGTACACCAATGCTGTTTACAGATTTTGAGTTTT